ATTCTGTGTGTCTATGTAAATTCTGCCTCATTTTTTTTTCTAAGTATTGAAAATCTGTCTTGTAAAAATAACTAAGAGCAAAATATCTGTGTGAAAATTTTTCTGTACAGAAAAATTTTTGATTCTGTTTTATTCTGCACAGAAAATCACATATTTCTTAGGCCGATTCTGTGTCCAATTCTGTGTCGGTGTCAACTCTGTACAGAAAAATGAAAATCTGCCTCTATAACAACCAGAGTTGGTACAGAGTCTGTACAGAATTGGCTCAGAATTTTCGTACAGGTGCCTACATTCAGTTATAAAAAAATCTTTAAAAATTATTTTTGATTTGTCATGAATCTCATGTCAAAAAAACTAAGTGGAATCCCATTAAAAAAAAACATTATATGTTTGTTTTGTTCGGTAATCAGAAAAATTGCCATGTCATTATTGTCTGTAAGAACCCTTGAAAGATTATGTACCCTTTGTTTGAGGAGTGCTAAGACATAATTTACATTATAGACAGACAAGCAATAAAGCATGATTGCTTTTTTCATGTCTGCTTAAACACTGTATAATAAGAATTAAGAAGAAAACTGAATGTCAATTTCTAGGAAATGGCTGTGTTCTAGGCTGGCATTTATTGAGCCCACAGGGAGTTGAAGTTCGATTAATTGATGGAGCAAACGTCTTATCGTCTCACTGAGGACAGTTATCTTCTGATTATTTTGTGAAGACTTTTTATCCTGTCAGGCTCTTCCCCCGTATAGTTTATTTCTTTTTGTCATGATAGTTGACCATGGAAAATAGATAACCAGTGTTTATGGTTGGATAATATATAATCTGACATATTGTTACACAATTACGATTTAATATGAAAAGAACCAGTTAATAAGTATTCCAGTGATTTTGGTTGAATTTTTTACTGACTGAATGGTTATACTCAGTTGTCCTCTTCTTCTTCTAATATACTTATTAGTCCCCTACCGGTTTACCGGAGGGGACTGTAGGTTTACCCTCCGTCCGTCTGTCTGTCCGTCTGTCTGTCTGTCTGTCTGTCAGTCCGTCAGTCCGTCCGTCCACAAAACTGGATCCCGCGATAACTTGAAAAGTACTGAAAATATTTTTATGAAACTTGATATATGGATAGATGGCAGTATGGAGATTATGCACGTCTTTTTCTTTTCTTCCTATGTTGAAAATTCTGGTTGCTATGGCAACAAATAGGCTTAAAATATGGCAAATTTTACACATAAACTGGAACCAGTGATAACTTGAAAAGTACTGGAAATATTTTTATGAAACTTGAAATATGGGTAGATGGCAGTCTGGAGATTATGCACGTCTTTTTCTTTTCTTCCTATGTTGAAAATTCTGGTTGCTATGGCAACAAATAGACTGAAAATATGCCAAATTTTACACATAAACTGAATCCTGTGTTAACGCAAAAAGTAATAGAAATATTTTTATGAAACTTGAAATATGGGTAGATGGCAGTCTGGAGATTATGCACGTCTTTTTCTTTTCTTCCTATGTTGAAAATTCTGGTTGCTATGGCAACAAATAGACTGAAAATATGCCAAATTTTACACATAAACTGAATCCTGTGTTAACGCAAAAAGTAATAGAAATATTTTTATGAAACTTGTAATATGGGTAGATGGCAGTCTGGAGATTATGCACGTCTTTTTCTTTTCTTCCTATGTTGAAAATTCTGGTTGCTATGGCAACACATAGACTGAAAATATGGCAAATTTTACACATACACTGAATCCAGTGATAACTCAAAAAGTACTGGAAATATTTTTATGAAACTTGACATTGGGTAGATGGCAGTCTTGAGATTATGCATGTCTTATCTGTTCTTCCTATTTTTGAAAAAATATTGGTTGCCTTGGCAACAAATAGGCTTAAAACATGGCAAATATAACATAATTTGTGATTAGTCAAAAAGAGCTGAAATTTTTTTATGAAATTGCATCTTTAATTCAAGAGTTATATCCTCTTTAAGAATTTTGCTTTTAAAAATGTTATATTTTGGTAACAGGGATGTTTCAAATATTAACTTTAGAGTGTCCTTCAGTCCGTCTGTCTGTCTGTTCATAAAAACTGTTTCCTGTGATCACTTTTAAAGAACTTTTCCAACAAATTTACTTAAAATATAGAAAAATTTAAACATTAGTGAATGGCCAATGGCCCTTCAGAATGTTGATGGGGTTCTAACCGGTAGGGGACTTATGCATTGCTTGCAATACTATGATAATTGCTTGTTATATTAAATTCACCAGGGGTCACTTCAGGTCTTTCTCCACCAGTAAAGCTTGAAAATTCTTTAACTGATATAAATTATTCTTGTGGAGAAGATCTTCCATGTTCAGGTCACATTTAGTGATCAGGTCCAGGGTTGTTATTGAAATTTTACGGAGACGGTCAATTTTGAATTTGAGGTGGACATTTTTTGGTTTATTCATTATACATGTGCAACAAAGAGTGTTTTCTTAGTTCTGAGGTAAAAGTGACCATAATACTTAAACAATATATAGGAAATCTAACATCAAACAGAGAAAATGTGCCTGAACAGTTGTATTATGTGTTCCCTATTAAGCACATGGAGACAGACTTTATGGATTGTATTATAAATATTGTAAAGATATACACTAGTACTCCCACAGACAATAAGCAATGGGACACTAGACAGGCCCATTTAAGAAATGTTTTATTTATTGCTGTAGTTTCTATAAACGTATAGTCTCTAATGCTTTCAGAGTATGATCTAAGTACAAACTTGTCTGCAAGAACTCATATATTTTGAATTGACATTATAGCAGACAGAAATCGCAAGCTGTGCTAGTTCATTGAATAAACTTAATTTGTTTTGAAGCGTTTCTTCAAAGTGAATATTTGTCTTTAGGCTGATATATGATACGTCAATAGCAGTAGTCAGAGACATTTGTCTGATGTTTGCAAGAGCAGAATAAACTCATCAATGTATTGAATTCCTCACAATCATCACATCACTTTATCTCATGTTTCTTTGCAGTCAATGGTTTTTATACATTTTGATTTTGTTTAATGAGACTTCTGTCCTCATACTTGGATGTTCAAGGTTTATTGCTGACATACAAGAATGTTCAAGGGTTTTGCTCATACTGTACTTCAATTTGTTTTAAGTCATACAAGAATGTTCAAAGGTTTTGCTCTTTCAAGGATGTCCAAGGGTTTTTTGCTCAAACAAGAATGTTAAAGGATTTTTGCTCATAGTTGATGTTCAAGTTTTTTGCTCATACAAGAATGTTTAAGCTTTTTCCTCATACAAGGATATTCAAGGTTATTTTGGTCATACAAGAATGTTCAAGGGTTTTTTTTGCTCATACAAGAATGTTCAAGGGCTTTTGCTCATACAAGGATGCTCAAGGGATTTTTGCACATATAAGAATGTTTAAGGGTTTTTGCTTGTACTTAATATTCAAGTTTTTTTGCTCATACAAGAATGTTCAATGGTTCATGATCATACTTTTAATAATGTTCGTACTTTAAAGGATGTTCAAGGCTTTTTGCTCATATACTAGGAAACTCTGGGCTTTGAATAGCCATAAGACTCTCATGGATAGTATGTGTCGGAGATGTCATTATTGTAAATTCTGCAAAACTGTGACTGAATTAAACTATATGAAATTAAAATAATCCACTTACGAATTGAATGTTTTATCATGTTAGTTTGATGTTACAGTTTGATCCATGTCATACCATTTAAGAATTGGACCTAGTAGTTCTTTACTGGACCAGCACTCATCATAAAGTGGATAACTTTAGGGAATTTCAGTCAAAGTGGTTGGCATGTAATCACAGTGACTTGGTGGGGTATCTGGCCATTCTTATTTTGTTATTTCTACTATAAGCCTGTATTACTTAAAGTAAGTTGAGATGAAGAAACAAATATGTAAATCATATGTATTTCAGACATGTTTTAATGCTCAACAAATAATCAAATTTAGGGAATAAACCTTTGTACCAATTGAGTTAGTAATTGTATTTATATTTTGTCCCATGAAAATACCATCTTACCATTTATTTAGAAATTGAGATAGTTTCTGTTGATTGAAATATGTACAGTTGTGTTAAACTGAAATTTATAAGCTTACAAGACAGAGAGAGAGGTTGTTTATCAAGCTGCAGACATGTCTGCATTCAATCTGTTTAAATGTTTAGGATCTCTTTTTGATAATAGTTCTGAACGTTCTCGAAATGTTTGCAATGCAATCAAAACCTATCTGTAACTTGGAATTTATGGAAAAACTAAATGCGCCAAACTATAACAGGGAGTCTCTCATGCACTAAAATTATTCAAAACAAAAAAAAAAAGATAGAGGAGAAGATAAAAAAGAATGGTATCAATATGTTACATAGTATCTTAATATTTTTGCTAGTACATGTATTTTGATGGTTGGTCAGCTTTTGAAGATCAAAGAAATCTGATTATTTTGTCCAACTTTTTGGCACTTTTATTTTGTGAAGGGCATTTATGGCTAGGTACTGGTTAAAGTGATTGATTCTCACCACAGTAGGAAGGGGATCAAAGTCTCTCATACTTAAGCAAACTTATTTTCCAGAAATTGTATCCAGATACCCATTCAATATTATGGAAGAATGGTGGTTCTACCTCAGGTGACAGATCATCCCTTAAGTTAACTTAAAGTCCATCAGTAAAACTAAGAACTTGTCATAAAATTAATAAGAGGCATTGTTACAGAAAAAGCAAATAAAGAATTAATGGAAAATTGTTTTGCAGTTGTGTTATTGATTATTTTGCACACAAAAAACAAACAAGAAACAATTATTGACAATTTTGCTTAAAATTGACTGCTTTTTTGCTGACAATTTTGACTTACTCTTCTTTTGCAGATAATTTTGTGCAGATATATTTTAACTGGCAATTTTTTTGTTGGTCATATTCATATCTTTTGACATTATGACTGATAATTCTGACTGTTGTTGATAATTTTGACTAATTATTCTTACAGATATTGGTAGAGCAAAGGTAGATGAGGATGACGTATTTCTATATTGCTGACTTACTAAATTCCCTGCTAGGTAACACCAAAAGTGGCACGGACAAACTGAGGACTATAGCATGTGGATTTCTTCTCAATCTAACTAACAGTAATGGTGAGTTAAAGAATAAAACATAACTTGCTTTAGCTCTTAAAGTAGCATGCCTCCAATGTCATGCTAATTTTCATAAAAATTTTGTTTAATTTATAGATCAGTAAAATATTGTCAAAATTTTTTAATGAACAAAGAAAGTTAATTTACATATTACAAATAGCACTTAAAATCTACAAAAATTATCAAAATAGGTAAGAATTTGCAAATATAGCCCTAACTGTGTTAGTCACACAATAGAAATTATGGTGATTGATACTGCAAAAGCAGTCATAAATGACACTTTGCATGTAAATTATTTCTTTAATTGTGAATATTTTACATTTTCTTAAAATCTTAGTAGCTTTTTCTCAAGGGTAATTTTTCTTGAAATATTTTGGCTCATGTAGAGACATGCAGCTTTAACCTGGTTTGCTGGTTTTGTTTTACCAGTCTTTACTCTTTCCAGTTTTTCATAGAATAAGGACAAATCTGTAGATACGGCTTTAAATTGATTCTCCTGCCTATGTTACTTAGCTTACTAGGAATACTATTAGATTAATAGAATGGGTTTTATTGATGTTTGAAGACATTTCTCCCTCAATTTCTCATAAGTGATTAAAAATGTGAAAGTGGTGGAGAAGTTTGCATTTACATGTGGAGATTTTTTTCTAAAGATTTTTATTAGATTATTGCTTAATTAATTGTTAGTATTTATTCTGAAGATACTGTTAAAACTGACAACACAGCCAAACAAGGGGAGCATGCCGTAGCTTAGTGGTTAAGGTGTCTGCCTTTTATTCTATAGGTCATTAGTTTGAGCTTTAGTTGGGTCACAACCATGTTACCACATAAGACACCATGTAACATCTGAGAACTGGTTAGTTCCAGAAAGCAGAGTGGCTTCAAATAAGCTACAAGATTTCTTCACAACAATTGAGCTTTAATAATAAAAAATACTTCAAACTAAAGCCAAACAAATGCAAGAACAATCAAGTGATTCAATAAAGTGGTTGACGTATAGAATTTGTAAACAAGCATCCCGGCATTATCCTGATTCCTGGCCGAACATTGATTTTTTGAAGGAAAGCCAACACCAGAATAATAGATAGCAAACATTAAAACATTTGATTGCATGAATGCCAAACGTGCCTCATTTCAGAGGAGTAATGATAACTTAATTATCTCTTACAATATAAATCAACGACTATTAGCAACGTTATGAAACTTTGTCATAATGATTAACTTCTTTCTTTAATTTGCGTGGGCAAATCTAATTTTGTGTCTTTTGTTTTTCGTTAATTAAAAACTAGTTCAATACAATGAAGATAGAAAGAAATGATGTACATGTATTTGATTAATCTGAGATTTTTATCATGAAAGTGATGAACTGTGTTTCAGACATAAAGCCTTACCTCGATAGATATCTGAAATGGACCTGTCCCTCTTTCAATTTAGACAAAAGTATTTTTAAATCTTATTGGAGGAAAATTTCAAAAATACATTTTGGTATGCATTGACTGAAAAGAGAACAGTGCACACCATGGTCAGGTGGCACAGATATGCTGGCTGATCTAGGCCTGCACTGGTAGCACTGGATAATAGATTCTGTAGCTGCTATCAGAGGGTCAATTTGCAATGTGGCAAAATCTATAAAACCAAATACAAGACAAAATAAGTAATTATTGAATTTTTTGCGATTATAAGAGTTGAATGTCCATCAAATTAATATAGTTTTAAAAGTTCAAGTTTTAAAAGTTTAAAGGGAGCAGTGGCCTAGTGGTTATATGTCGCCTTTCAACCCAAAGATCATGGGTTTGAGCCCTACTCGGGTCACAACCATGTTTCTTCATATGACACCAGTACTGGTTGGTTCCAGGAAGCGGACTCAAAAGTGATTAATATAAGTTGCAAGAACTTGTTTCGCCATCAAGCTTAAATTAATATGTTTAAACCAAAAGTTCAAGTGCCTGGAATGTTCACCAGATTAGCTACTTAAAATTTATCCCAGGTCATGATGGGCTACTTTAAAAATGTATCCGTCTTTTACTCTTCCTGGTTAGTCTTCTCTCTTATGATACCTGATATAGTTGATTATGCCCCTACTTAGGTCCCCTATTGAAACTTCTTGTTAGGGTGTTGGGAGTGGGGGTGAGGTTTACATATATCCCTGTGCTCCTATCTTTTAATCTCTAAGCTTTTATCCTAACTTAATCCACAGTCAATAACCCCCCCCCCCTCCCCAGTTTGCTACCATAACACTGATGTGAAATATATTTACTTAATTCTCAAAACTGGACCTGTTTTCCAAAAGTTTAACCCAATTTTAACACTTTTGCAAATATTTCATTTTATCAGTATTTTCTTATAATTGAAAGTTTAGAATTCATGGAACTTGAACAGGAAGCATTTTTCTTCTACTTGATACTTAAAATTTGACTGCTTCTGTTGTGCTTCTGTTAATCGGAATTGTACAAGATGCCTGGTGAAATCGTTTTTTTACCTACTTAGAGAGATTTGCTTTAGTGCCAAGTTTTAGTCAAGGAAAAAGTTAATTAACTTTATGTTCGAGGATTGAGTAATGGAAACATATAAGCTGTTTGTGGAGATTTACTACATTACAGTCATTCTTTCTCATTTCTTCATTTTAATTCTGCTGAGGTAAAAGTTTTCAGGATAAATTCTGAATGTCAGACTCATTAAAGCTCCTTTCTAAGCATTATGGTTAACAATTGTGTAGTCTTTTCTTTGAAATGAAGATGAATGATAATTTCATACAATAAAGCGTGAGGCAGGCAATCGAGAAAATATAGATTTGTGAAATATTTTGTGCTCTATTTTGTAATTTAAGTGTACAACATAGAATTTATGAGGTCAAGGTCACATTTTAAAATTGCAAAAGAGACAATATCTATCTCATTATTATATTAATTGTTTTTCATAAGTAATGTCCAACTTCATGAATCAGTTTGATATGTGTCCTTTGCTTCAAGGTCAAGGTCATATTTAAGGTCAAATGTGGCATAGTAAAGATCAACGGGTATTAAGTAATGGAACAAGTTCATAATTATGATCATTTTCAATTCAAAATGCTTTCCAAAACATAATATTTTCATTCAAATAATATTATAAGTAAAGTATACTTGTGTCTTAAAACTTGGACCTTGTAAACAAAGTATTAATGCATATTTGTTTTGATTTAGATTACTAGAGATGTAAGAGATTTGAAGATTTATTTTCTGTTATTTTGTATAAACAGTTTTAACAGGATTGTTTTATTTTCATGAGACATTTATCTCCGAATGTGGAGCATAGGAAATAATTATACAAAAAAATGAGTATTAGTGTATTACCATAGGAATAAGATGTTTTGAAGAAAATGTCAAATATTGTCAAACTTTGAAAGGTGAATGTCACTATGTCAGTGGTTGATGATTCTCTGGTGGTTTATATAAATGGCTTATGACTTTGGGATTGGAAATTAATGTCAAAAGTGAGAAAATCGAAAAATTAAGTTTTTGAAAAACACAATTAATTTGCAAAAGAAAAGCCCAACTTCTATATATATTGGTTCGCCTACATTTGGCGGTTGCTTTAAAAGTCACTTATCATTATTATTTATTGTTAATGTGTCTGCTCCATTGTTATTTTCTATATTTCTGTATAAAGTTAGCTTCAATTATTCTAGACATAAAGATCATTTTTAGATAAATGATTTCCTATAACCTTGACAGATCTTGTTTTTCTTTAGATACAAAATGAGAATGTGACATTCAGTCTAATGCATCACTTTCTGGCATGATTGCAGTCATGAAATTGGACAAATGTTCTAGACAATTTTAATCTCTATATGTTACATTTCACATCTGTTCTTTCTGGAAATTTGTGCAGTCTGACCAGAATAAAATATTTGTGTTGTCTCAGCTGATTGAGTCTGTCCAGTCAGGACATTTGTGTAATCTAGTACAGATTGAGTCTGTCCAGTCAGGACATTTGTGTGGTCTAATCAGATTGAGTTTGTCCAGTCAGGACATTTGTGTAATCTAGTACAGTTTGAGTCTGTCCAGTCAGGACATTTGTGTAATCTAGTACAGATTGAGTCTGTCCAGTCAGGACATTTGTGTAATCTAGTACAGATTGAGTCTGTCCAGTCAGGACATTTGTGTGGTCTAATCAGATTGAGTTTGTCCAGTCAGGACATTTGTGTAATCTAGTACAGTTTGAGTCTGTCCAGTCAGGACATTTGTGTTATCTAGTACAGATTGAGTCTGTCAGTCTGTCCAGTCAGGACATTTGTGTAATCTAGTACAGATTGAGTCTGTCCAGTCAGGACATATGTGTAATCTAGTACAGATTGAGTCTGTCCAGTCAGGACATTTGTGTAATCTAGTACAGATTGAGTCTGTCCAGTCAGGACATATGTGTAATCTAGTACAGATTGAGTCTGTCCAGTCAGGACATTTGTGTAATCTAGTACAGATTGAGTCTGTCCAGTCAGGACATTTGTGTGGTCTAATCAGATTGAGTTTGTCCAGTCAGGACATTTGTGTAATCTAGTACAGTTTGAGTCTGTCCAGTCAGGACATTTGTTGTTATCTAGTACAGATTGAGTCTGTCCAGTCAGGACATTTGTGTAATCTAGTACAGATTGAGTCTGTCCAGTCAGGACATATGTGTAATCTAGAACAGATTGAGTCTGTCCAGTCAGGACATTTTGTGTAATCTAGTACAGATTGAGTCTGTCCAGTCAGGACATTTGTGTAATCTAGTACAGACTGAGTCTGTCCAGTCAGGACATATGTGTAATCTAGTACAGTTTGAGTCTGTCTAGTCAGGACATTTGTGTAATCTAGTACAGACTGAGTCTGTCCAGTCAGGACAAATGTGTAATCTAGTACAGTTTGAGTCTGTCCAGTCAGGACATTTGTGTAATCTAGTACAGTTTGAGTCTATCCAGTCAGGACATTTGTGTAATCTAGTACAGTTTGAGTCTGTCCAGTCAGGACATTTGTGTGGTCTAGAACAGATTGAGTTTGTCAAGTCCTCCTGACATTTGTGTATCTGATCACATTGAATCTGTCTTGATTGGACAATTATGCTTACTAACCATATTATGCTGTTGGGAGCTCAGTAATGAAATTGCTCAATCGTTAGAACAAAAGCAAACATGTAAGATGAAGTCTACTATATAAAATATAATAAAGAAAAACCTCTCTTTGTCAAAATGTATCTTTAAGATAAACTATGTTTTATTTTTCATAGAAACCCTGCAGAAGAAAGCATTGGAGGAAGATGCCTTGAATCTGATAGCGAAGTATCTAAAAAATTATGAGACAGATGAAAGGCTATGTAACATGGTTCTTCTTACAATTGCTAGTCTTACTGACTCAGGTATGTTGAATAAGAATTTTCACAATGATGAATAATAGCTTTTATTAAGGTAATGTAAGTGAAGTTATGGCCTGGTTGTGTCTGATGACTAGCCCAGGAATCTTGTGCTGATGAGCCATATTTGGATCCCAAATAGGTTTTCTAATTTCATACTAGTCCTGGTTATTTAAACTGATATCTTCTTAAAAATTATATACCAGACTTTCTTATTATTTGCATTGCCAATCTTATGTATCAATTGGTTGCAGGAAACTAATTTTTAGCTCCCAAAATACAATTTTCCCACTTTATACTTTATATTTGTACATATATAGCATTTTTATAACTGACAGGAAATCAACTTCTTTCTTCTTTCTTTAAAACATAATAATGTTAGACTAGATCATTATGTTTAAATGTGACATTTTCAGAGATGTGTAAAGAGAAATTATTGGCATCAAATCTTTGCCAATCTATGGTTGACTTCTTGCAAACACCTACTGGAGAAGACCAGTATGAATCAGTACTGGATATTACTCATAACCTTATCTGAATGGGGTAAGTTATTTCTCACTATGTTAATAGGGCTTTTTTGAGCCGCGCCATGACAAAACCAATGGAATGCGTTTGCGACCAGCATGGATCCAGACCAGCCTGCTCATCCGCGCAGTCTGATCAGGATCCATGCTGTTGCTATCAGTTTCTCTACATGTTATAGGGTTTGTAAGCGTCTGGATCCATGCTGGTGGCAAACGCATTACGTTGGTTTTGTCGTGACTCGGCTCATTTGCCTATGCCACCATTATAGAGCCAGGCCAGTCTGCACATCTGTGCTGTCTGACCATACTCCATAATGTTGACTGCTCTATTTCAAGAACAATTTGGCATAATTAGAAATTAGAAAATTGAATGTTTTTAGTTATTTTGCCGTTTGAAAGCTAGCAGCTATTGATAACAGATCGATGCTACCTGGATAGTGCCAATCTGTCCCAAAATCTATCATACAAAAAAGGCAAAGAGAAAAGGGTAAGCCTGAAGTATGTCATTCCTTAATCAGATTTCTAGAATTTTATTTGCCAATAGTTATAAAACATATGTTTCCAAAAATAACTAGATGTATACTCATCAAAGTACTTGCAAACAATTCAATTTCATATTAGAACAAATGCTCTCTTTTGAAGTGGATATCAAGCTTGCCTATGTAAATGCTGGTACTGGTGATGAACATTTTTGTGCCTGAAATAATGCACAGAAGCACCTCTTCAGGGGTCTTGCCCCACCAGTGAAAGCAAGGAACTCATCATATAACTTTTCAGTGATATAAAGGCCAACAAATTTAATTTATAAAAAAACAACTCTTTGTTTCAGATGAAGTAAAAGATTTGTTAGCGCAGACAGATTTATGTAAACAACTTATAAAAATGGCTCAAGTTACCCTGGGTGAGAACGCAGAATATAGTGAAGATAATCAGCAGAAGGTGAAGATGTCTTCAGATCTTCTTATATTGCTTCTAACTGGAGGTAAGATCATTTTCACACTTACTGGAGGTTTGGTCGTTTCCACAACTACTGGAGGAAAGATCATTTCCACACTTACTTGAGGTAAGATGATTTACCACACTTAATGGTGGTAAGATCATTTTCATGCTTACTGCTGAAAATATTGTAACTCACTGAAACTAATTGAAAGAACACCCTGTGAGGTCAGTAGGTAGTGTGAAGATAAAGCGGCATCAAATTATGAACTCTAGATCTGAAAGTGGTTCATGCTTTTGGGACAAATTTATTCAAGACAATTTGTCTAATCTCATTTGATTTAAATCAAATGTATGGCTGTAAGGAAGATATGGGTTTTTTTTGTATATCACCCACATAATTTTTAGATTATTCTCTCTTTATTAGAAACTTATCATTTCAACAATTTCTGATGTCACATGATAGGCAGGTATTAGCCAATTTTGAGATACATTTTATTTATGCTCAGTTCATTTTCATGATATAGGCCAAGTGTATCGTAAATCAAAACAGAACAATTTATCTTACAGGCAATATTGAATTAAAATTGTTCTTTCGTTTTAAAATCTCAAAAAAACAGTAAATTAAAGTCAATTGTAGAGAGAAGCTATATATGCTCTGTCCTGAATTCTTTACTTTGTTAGTCTTTTATCTTGGTCTCCTTTCCATATAATTACTTATTGTTCATCCTTCTTATTTGTGTGTATATTTGATGGAGGCTGAACCTCAAGGATTTAGCACTTTGTTTAATTAGTTTATCAAATTTTTAACGATGCTGACGTTTTTCCTTGATTTTCACAAAGGTTATTTTATAGGGTCAAGGCTTTATCATAAAGTTTAATTTAGTTAGTAAATTTAAAATTAAATAACTTGAAATTTATGATTTATTGTCATATCTAAGAAATGAGAAATAATTTGTATCAATTACTGTAGATAAATTATTGTGAAAATTAAATTTGATTTACCTTTATGGATATTGAATGTTTTGTAGACATAATTCTTTTGGAAAGTAATAGCTTTAACACTAATTAGCTTAAAATAGAAAGAATTTTAATTGTTTTGTGGAAATTAAATATTTAATACATGTACTTGGAAATGAATTTTTTAAATTCTTGAAAGAAAATGAAACATTTTGAAAATATTTGAAATGTTCTCATATCACAGCGTATTTGATTAATAATTTCTTGTTTGAAGCACTTTAATATTCTCTCAGATATCTATTAAAAAATGTCCTCATTAATTTTTAATACATGTACAATGTATTTTGTGGCTAACATAAAGTAAAATAATATTTATGAATGAATAAATCAATCAAAAAATCTGTCATCAATAAATCAATCAATCAATTAATCAATCAATCAATCAATCAAACAAACATACAATCAATCAATCAATCAATAAAGTTAACATTCTTTGCCACCAGTGAGGTCAGCCCAGTCACACTATGCACTCTGACCAGGCTCTATATTGTTGGTTCACAAACTTCAAATTTTCCATCTTGATTTTCCCAAAATTGATAATGAACAGTTCAAAAAAAAAGTAACTGGTCAAGTCCATTTTAGAAATATAGCAGGAAGAGGGTCAGAAATTCCAGTCAGATTTTTGTCAAAGGAATAGCAATAAATAATTTGTGTGTATTTTCAGAGAAGAGTATGGAGATATTGTTTGACGGTGGTAAAGGGGAGATATTCTCAGAGTCAATGACCTGGTTAGATAGTGATGAACAGCATCTCACAGCTCTTTGGTTCCACTAGCTTGCAACTTTGCAGAAGTGTAAATATCTTCTCACAATACAAATATCATGTTTACACTCCACTTGCAGCTATAATGTAATAAATTTATCACAAATGTAATAAAGGCTGAAAAAAGGATCATAATTCTTGGCTCTCATTGTTTTGTTCAGATGAATAAGATTGTTCCTTTCGTGTTGAAATTAAAGCATGTAAACAGTGTTGTTATCTGTTTGTTGAAAGAAATTCTGCCAAAGATGATTAAACAGTGCATATTATGATATGAGTTAGTTTCTGTCACATATTTTGAGTGATAACAGATTGTTCATGCAAATTTCAGCAACAGTATAAGATTGAAAAAAAGTTGATCATTATGAAAAAAAGTTGATCATTATGAAAAATAGTAGATTATTATGAAAATTAGTCAATCATTATGAAAATTAGTCAGTCATTATGAAAAAAAGTCAATCTTAATTAAAATAAGATTCATTCCTTAAGTAATTACAATAATGTATATCAGATTTAATGAATGTTTGTGAACCAGCTAGCTTATAAAAGATTGATGATTCTGTCAAGGTTCCTTCTGGTGCCTAAAATAATGCACAAATCGCCAGAGGTCTTCATTCACTAGTAATGTTGGAAAGCTCTCATATGACCTGGACATTATTTATTGCCAAAAAAGACTAAATTTGCTATCTTTAACATTATATGATTATCCTGTTAAATATACCAAGTAGGGCTATTTTAGTATATTTTTGTATATTTTGGCACATTATAAGTTGACAGTAAGTGCCATAAGCTAGCTTTAATCACTTGGCGTTTTTTGTTGTTGTTTTTTTGGTTTTCGGACATTTTCTACATTTTTGAAATAAGCATGAATATTTTGGTATGCAGCATTAAGTAATTTACCACATTGCACAATGATTAAATCTCAACATTATATTTTTTTGTACAGATGAACACTGTCAGTTTCTGGTAGAACAGGGCGTTATAAAACGGTTACTACGTCTACTGAAACCAGTTTATGGAGAACAGAAATGTACTTTAGAACATGCTAGTCTCAGTGCTCTACGTAATCTGGCATATACCTGGTAAATTATTTATAACTTTCTTATCTTCATGAAGGTGTAATTACCTGTATTAAATCTGTCATTTACAATTACCATTCTACTTTGTAATCACAAGTGTTTATTTTTATTGTGAAGTACGTTTATTATTAATACAATAGGTATATTCTTGTGCAACTGTTGTATGTATAACTATATCTGTCTACTTTGGCATCGTAAATGATTGTTTTGTTATAAAGCACAATGATTATTTATATTATATTATTATGCAACTATTACATATAGGTTTAAGTAATATGTGGAAAAAAAATTGTCAAAAACAATTCTTTTTACAATATAACAAATAGTGTATTTTATTCCCCCCCCCCACCCCCTAAAATAAATGCATGTGAGCATTATATTTGTTCATCTATGGACCTCTATACTTTGATGGGCTTTGTATTTTTTGGAGGGTCACTTTGGCTAAAATATCATTTTGTACTTTTACTCTTTTATTTTTGCTTCGATGTGACTTTTACCTGTTGATATGATTTGATGTGCTTACTGAGGCTAAAAATAGATTTTTCTACTTTCCCATTACAGATTATTGAATAATTAACCAATATTATCAATATTTGATAAGTTTTCACCTTGAAGAGTCATCTGCACTTTAAATGAGATTCAAGGTCACCTAACTTAAATTTTTCTCATAGTTTTACAGCAGTTTTTTAAGTTTTGGCAAATAAACATTTGATTTATCTGATATTCTCAATATTTTTGTCTCTTGAAGTCTTAAAACTGCTGACAGAATTTCTCGTCTTAAAACTGCTGAAAGAATTTCTCGTCTTAACTTACTTTACTTGTTAAGTCGATAATATATGTATTAGGCGTCTAATTCCCTGAGGAATCACCGTGGAATAATCTTACTCTTGTTAATTATTGAGATGTTTATGCCCACAACCTAAACTACTTGTCATTTGGATACCAATAAAACTGTTTCATATTAGAATGGTTAAGCAGTCATGGCATGTTTAATTGTTATTATATTTTGGCTTGTATGGGAAAATGTCGCCAGATGATCTCAGGATAAAGAGTGCCTTTCAGATTATATTACTGTTTTGTCAAATTACACTGAAGATAATTTGGTCTGCAAATTGTATCAATAAACCATATTCAGCTAATTTACAAATTTATCCCCATATAATAAAAATTATTTTATAAGATGTTTCACTGAAATATTTTTGAAACTTTTATGTCTAACTTACATGATCGGGGACATGTAATTTTGCACTTGTCCAACCCTACAGTCACACTGTTATTCCGTCTGATGTCAAAATAGTGAATGTTGCAGGGGGGGAACATGAACTAATGGTACAGTAACTGTTATAGTCTATTATGATTAATAAAACTTAAAAGCTAATCAGATCATGAAAAATGTAAAACATGGGTAAAATGTAGCATTTAAAGCAAACCTATCAATGTTTAAGAAATTATGTGTATCACTATCACCATTCTTGTACATGTATAATATTTCTTTGAAACGTTTTTGATTTTTTTTCTTCAAAATAATAAAAATTAATCTACTAAAGTGGCTGTGTCAATCTGACCTTATAGTACATGTATTTGGTGTTTCATGTGTTTTCATATATGTAATCATTATCCTACTTATGTTTCTGTGTTAACATCTAGGGCATCCATGGTTAAGGTCATTGACTTCAAACAACTTATCCCTCACTGCTGGGGGTTTGAATCCCAACAGGGACTTTTTACATGTGAGGAAGCTATCCAGCTAGCTTACCTACTCTGGTGCCTGTTCATGGCTGAAATAATGAGTGTAAGGGCACCTGAGGTTTTTCCTCCATCAGTCAAGCTGGAAAGTCGCCATATGACCTATACTGTGTTGGTGCAACCCAACAAATAAAAAAAAAAATGTATTAACATTTGGTAGACGATTTTTGACTGCTTGTAGTTTTGTTGACTACTTTATTCGTTTGAATTTTCATGAATATTAAAATTGAAAACACAATAGCAGACAAACAGCATATTTTTTTTACAGCGGGTAATAAAGCTTCACTGATCAAAGAGGGAGTTATAGATGCTGTGTTGGTTCTCTGTAGACTCAGAAATGTTAGCCGTTATATTCAAATGCTAGGGGTGTTACGTATGCTTGTTGATGGTCAAGGTATGTTGCTTAACTGTGTTTGTTATGTTTATTGACAGGAAATTATGCAGTTTCATACAAAAAAAATAAATGTCTCATGTTTTGTCAGTCTAACTTTATGAAATTTTACCCCCCAATAAAATGGAAATTTCTAAAATAAACAAGTCCATTCATCATTGCTAGGGAACATTTCAAAATAATTAATACTGACTGAAAAGTGAATAGAACAGACCATGATTTTAATACCCACTGGTAGCAGGGGTAGTTTCAGTGGCAACCAGTTGGCTAAAGGTTAATAGGGCTTTTTTATTTATTAGAGAAATTTCTGACTTAGTGTTTTGTACAAAATTTAAGCACTCCTGTTTGAAAACATCACCAATACTAGCTAGATATACATGTATGTGTGTATCATGTCCTGTAGTTGGCATACTGAGAAAAATGAAAAGGATCTGTTAAAAAAGAAATTATCAATATATTGTAAGACACATAAAGAAAAGGGACTCCACACAGCTATGTAAAATGTTATATAAATCACAGGGTGAGTTTTGCTTAATAAACTGAAACATCGTTACTGAGTGACATCATATTCTATTTTAAGATGATGCTGCGGTGAAACTAGGTCAACATAGAGAATTTGTTACAAGACTTGTAGAGTGGAGTGCTTGTGAAGAACACCCAGGGGTCAAAGGTAATTTCTGTATTTTGTATGGAGAAAGTGCTCTTTCATTGTTATAATGTTAACAAAAATTACAATCTAATGTCAGGGGGACCTAAGTTTGATGTGATCTGTAATTCAGTCAAAAGTCTGTAAATGTAATTGGTAGTACTTTTTCTATAACAAACATATTCTTAAAACATGTACTGGAAACTAGACATCTAAATTATTTTCTCTAGTGATCTCCCCTGAGGCTATGCCAAGGATCGGCCTAATTTGATAACTTTGATACTGACTGAATGTAAACAGTAGCTTAATTTAATTTGATAAAAAAATCATTTAAAAAAAATACATCAGAATATCAAATTACTCTGAAGAGGTTTTTTTCCTCTGAATCAATTTTCTGTTGTTTGTTGTTGTTGATGTTGTTGTTGTTGTTTTATAGCTGAATTTTAGGTATTTCATTCATCAGTCTCTGTTTTATGTAAGCCCACCTGCATAGAAAGTGAGACAAACTTCAGAGCTTTCTGTGTGATATAATTTATTGGAAAGCAATATGATAAAATGATTTTTCTGTTGCCCTTCAATTCTATGCTGTATTGATTGATGGTGATTTAATTCATCATGATAAGAAATGATGAATGATGCAACATTATGATTTTTAAAAGATATGTACAGCAATCATAGATTTATATAGTGT